CCATTCATGTGTGCTTTGTAGCACTGCTTTAAATAAGTGGGGTTACCCACTTTGGGAGAGATTCTTTGTGTTCTTGCTCTTTCATGAACTACTTTCATAAGCACTTCTGAAGAAAATGGGGCGAAATCATAGTTGGGTTTTGACCAAGAGGGTGTCTGTCTTCATTTCACTCTTCCCGAGTCAGAGAAATGGTCACTTAGTGTGGGGAATGTCCCATTATTAGATTGTCCTTGCTAATTTCATTAATCAAGGTTTTACTTATTGAATAAATGATGTTCGGGGAGGTTGAGGGATTCTCAGCAGTGACACTTTACTGATGGATGCTCAGAGGTTAGAAAGCAATTGGATTAGCTAACCTCTGTTGGTCCTTCCCTTCCCAGAACCCAAATGATCTATTTAATCCACCCAACACTGTTCACTCTTACCAGAAAGTTTTTCTCAATATCTAATCTGTACCTCCATTGCTGCAAACTACTGCCACTGCTTGCTTTTGCTGCTGGACACAGAGAACAGATTTCCTCTCCTTGGCTTTTGCATGACTACTGTGGTTAAGATTTTGAAACAAGAGTTTGAGGATTTGGAGTAGAGAGCTGATATTCAGCAGGCAGGCTGGTACTTTTGTTACATGTCTGTGACAGTGTTCACAGGGGTTTTCAGGATGAGGGAAGAGAGGTAGATCTGACTCCATATTTCAGAAGGCTTGATTTATTATTTTATTATATATATATTACATATAACTATAGTAAAAAGAATAGAAGGAAAGGTTTCATCTCAGAAGGCTAGCTAAGCTAAGAATAGACTAGAAAGAACGATAACAAAGGCAGCTGGCTCTGCTGTGACTGGTCACTAAATCCAAACATCCACACAAGATCAATCACAGATGCACCTGTTGCATTCCACAGCAGCAGATAACCATTGTTTACACTTTGTTACTGGAGCCTCTCAGCTTCTCAGGAAGAAAAATTCCTAAGAAAGGATTTTCATAAAAAGATGTCTGCGACACATGTCTCTTGACTTTTCTAGACTAAACGGTCCCAGCTGCAGTAATTTCTCATAGGTCACATGTTACAATCTTTCCATTATCCTCCCTGCTCTGTTTGGGTTCTCTAGAGATTTCTTACAGAGTGTGCAAGTACAGGACTACAGCTGCAACTTTACTGCTAGGAATACAAGAAATACAATGCTGAATGCTACAGATCTCTCTACTTTATACATTTCAGTACAAACTTTGAATGATTCATATTCTCTGCCCTCCTTATTGTTACAGATAAAATATAATTTAAGAAAAATCTCTTTACTATTTACATTTAAACTGCGTTGTTATCCCTTCTATCCCCTTTTTCTTCTCCTGGCTTTCCAGATAAGCACTCCAATCTCCTTAAATCCACACAAAGCTAAGACTACCTTTCTTGAACATATTTGTATTGCACTCACTTCTATCCATTTTCAATCTCTCTGGTGCCTTCCTTTACCACCAGCTCAATTTAAAACTTCTTGGACTGATCATCAGTATTCTGTCATGCTATCTTTTCCAGGATTACAAGTCTCCAATACTTTTTTTTCCTCTCCACTGTTCCTGTCAACCTTTATCTTTCCATTTGTCAATGTTTCACTCGAGGGCCTTCACAGCTTTTTGCCCATACTCTTCCAAATGCAAACGTGCCAAGTGAAACATGAGAAATCCTACTGTAAACTGCATTTGAGTGATTGGTAGGGGTTCACATTAATATTTTGGGTACCAAAACCTTAATAACTGGAGAGTTTCATAATCTGGGTGAAGACACACACTTTATTTAAAGCCAAACCCCTACTTTATGCACTGTAAAATGACCATCTGGGAGCTAGTATAGCTTTTACTAGTTATTATCTGAATGCCTCTTCCTGTAACAGCTTCTTCCATTTTACCTGAACTAAGATAGACCAAGTACCAAACCTAACTGGAAAGACCTTTTCTCTCAGATTCAGTTTCTTTCCTGCTAGTGTCCATAGGAAGAATCAAAAGCTGGACTTGAAAGTAATTTAAAAATTTGTGACTTGCTAGTTTCGGAAAGCAAGATCAGATGCACTGGAACAGCAACACACAAGGAGACACCACCACTAGACCTGACCTAATTTTTGTTTCTACCTTGCCTGCAGTGATGAGGGAGGTCCAGAACCTTTTATGATGATCTGGACTCTTGGCTGGGCCTGAAGCTCACCCTGCCTGGGTCTGTGGGAATCAGCCTTGGCTGTCAAGTCCCCCACGCCCACCAGCCCTATCATGTCATTGTCTCCTTGTCCTCATGAGCAGCTGCTCCTTGGTACACCCTGACAGCTGGATCAGGTCCTCTCCTAAGTCGTGAGTTGAGCGCAGTGGGGCCTGGCCCACAGCTGTGTGGGATCTTCTGAAACTCCTCCTGTGCCATCAGCCTGACTGGCTTTGGTGTCCTCATTGTACTGGCCCCTTGTCCAGCCCCAGTTCCTGAGTGAATCTCCTCTCAGAACTCACCTGGCAGCTCCTTGGGGGCTGGTCTATAGGGTTTCTGACACCCTCTAGTTCTGTCTGCTGTGGCCCCTTTACAGGCATTGTCCCTGCCCTGGGTGAGTGTCCATAAAGTTATCCACTGACAACATGCACAAACTAAATCCCTCTTCCTGTTCTGAGCTCTCAGGTGTGAGGACACACCTTGTTTGTGGGGAATGGGAGTTGCTGTCAAGGCTGTGAGGGCACTGACAGTCCTGACCAAGCCTCACTTGGGCCCCCTGCCCTCTGCTCATGGGCCCTGAGTTCTGGCCTGTGCTCTTGGTCCTTGCTGGAGCTGAACTGTAGGAATGCTGCTCTCCATCCAGCTCAGCCATAGTCATGCCCCTGCCTCCCCAGCCTCACCTGGAACCTGCCTTGTTTAACAGACTTGTTTGGTGAGTCCGCAGTGGAAGTGTTCTAGGTGAGACTGATTGGGCTTTGAGCAATCTGGTCCAGTGGAAGGTGTCCCTGCCTGTGACACAAGGGTGGGAACTAGATCACCTTTAAGGTTCCTTCAAACCCAGATCATTCTACAACTTGCCTGGTGATAGCTGGGCTGCATGTGACCCAGGCTGCCATCACTGGACCTGCCCCTGCGTTGTGTTTTTGGTTTGTTTTGAGACCAGTGCCATCACCATGGACTTGTCCCAGCTGATCCTGACTCCCATCTCCAGGCTGCCCTGCTCACAGCCCTCAGGCTGGGGAAAAGGCCCCAGATTATTGCCAGGCTCCCCTGCTGCAGGGAGCATTCTTGGCCCCTCCTGCTTCCCCCCAGTGTGAGCACAGCCTTCCCCAGCCCCAGAGCTGTCAGGGTTACAACAAGACTCTGCAGCATCTCATGATGCTGTCCTCCCTTCTGCCTAAGGGATCTGAAATAGTGAATGCTGAGAGAATTCACCCATGGAAGCACATTTGATCTTCAGCCAGGTCTTGAAATGTAACAGCCTCTCTGCAATAATGTTCTGCTTATACACTAATTGTTCATTTCTGTGCAATTGTAGAGAGAGAGTGCTGAAAGTAGTTACAACAGAGACCTTCATGCTGTGGCAATAACTGTATGCTCTTGAATACCATTGGTATCAGACTTAATTCTTAGACATTATAATTATGTGAGGGCTCATTTTCTGTGAGTTTGCTCTCACTTGTCTTCCCTATTTAATATACATTATAATATTTTGTACTTTTCTTCTAGGCTTGAATAGGAATATTGTATTAAGCAAGCAGGTGATGAGATTCTGTTCTCTGTTCCAGTTAGCATAATTTCACCAATTCTGGTCCAGTTACTAGGATTTGCTGTAATTTAACTGCAATCAGAATTGAATTGTGTTTGTTTAAAAATGAAAAAAAAGTGTCTCTGAATGTTCATTCTATAGACTTTTTCTGCTGTAATGGTTGTAATGGAGATTAGTGTGTGTTCTTTTTTTTTATTTCACATTTTTATTTCAGAGCCTTAACATCCTAATAACAACTTTATTCTCTTCATCCTGTTGTTAGCAAGTAACTCAGGGAGGAAATTAAAAAGAGCTGTGCAGTGAACAAAAGGCATTTAAAGGCTGGTTAAGCAAGGAATTTACCCTTTTCACATAAATGTCTGCATTATCATTATTGACAAACACAAGGAGAAGCATCTATTATTCCATACTTCTGTCAATTAACTATATGTGAAGAGATTTGAAGGAAAGATGCCTTGTAAGGTAGTAATTTGAGACCTCTTTTCATTTTAATTTATAAAACTAGTTTTAATAACTTCTTTAGGAGTTTAGTACCCCTACAGTTAAATAATTCTTGTTGAAATGTCACATGCATAGCACAGTTCAGTAAGCAGCTGCAGAAGTGGTCAGAGCTGGATGAAATTTGAAGGAAAAACTTTAATTTAATTTAGTGATAATGTGCAGTAATTCAGATCAATGTAAAGATTAAAAGTAAGATAATTAAATACTCCATGCTTGTAGGAAACACACACATAGAACATATACACTCATATCTTAAGTAGCATGCACACACACAATTCTCCACAAAGATAGTCTGTACTTAACTAAGTAATATAATAACATTTAAGCATTTTGAGGTAGACATAGTACAGCTGAATTTGGTATTTTGCTGTCATTCATGATTTACTGGCATTGCTTTTATACCACCACTCTTAGTTTTAACAGATTTTTTCCCATCATCAAAAGCATTATCTACCATAAACTTCATGTGCAATGTCTGAATCTGAAAGTTTTAATTTTTTGCCCTACTGTTTTTGCATCAGATCAAGCACACTCTAGTCATTAAAAGGAAGAAAAAAATAATCTTCAATACAGTAATTATTTTGTCCTTTTAACTTAGTTTTGATACTATACTCCATTTGTACTTTCCTATGCTAATGTAAACTATTGTTTATATTATCTTGGAATGCTTGCAATGAGTTTACAGTATTTACTATTAATTAATTAACTTACATATTTAAATTAAAGCTCTGAGAAAACAAAATAAAAAAATACATTTTTGTCACCTTTTGTTGAAATCTTGGAGTTTCCTGGGGTTCTTCTTCTGTACTGTGTTTTTTGCTGCCTACCATCTTCGTTACTATGCTTGTCTTGCACTTTCCTCTGTAGCTATCACACTTTCCTCGAGGGAATCTTGTCGGCTCTGGACCACCAGAATTCCCACTTCTTGTTCTTAAAAGACAACTGAGCAAAGGTTATGCCAAGTTGTTCTTGTATGATTGTCCAAAGGGATGGGAAAGATCAGCTCAAAGCAATCTGCTGTGATAAAGCTTGTAGCAGAGGAAGTCCCAAATCTTGCTGGGTTATTTTTCCTTCCCAAAGCAAACCCCATCCCTTGCTCCCCCCACCTTTTATTTTTTTCTCCCTGCAGCATTTAAATATGCTTGTTATGCTGTGCTGTGGGAAACAGATGCATTCTTGTTGTGGCCAGAGCTGAATGTCAGGATTGAAGGAGCATCCATGAAAAACTCTTTTGTTTGGTCTGTGCTGTCCCACAGTGGAGCTATGGTAACAACTTCCGTTGGGGAAATTAACTGTGTCACTGTGTTCAAAGCACAGCACCACCTGAATGACAAACATGCCACTGCTCACATGACAGCTGACAAAGGGTATTGTTTAATTGTAATCAAAAGCAATAAAATCCAGCCAATTCAAAAATCCAAAGCATCTGAAGGCTAGGTATATGTAAAATGCACTGGCATTCTATTTTTATTCAAACTGAAGAATTTAGAGATATTGTTATTTTTTAAATGTTTATGTATTGTGGTTTAAAAATTGAGTAACTTCTGATTTTGAGCTCCACACCACTCTTGGTGCTTGTGCACATGTTTAAAAAAAGAAGTAAAGCGAATAGTGCCACACTCCTGTGAGGAGAGGGTTTGTGTAGGTGTTGTTGGTTTAACCTGGCAGGCAGCTCAACAGCACACAGCCACTCACTCTCCCACCCACCCCCTGAGTGGGATGTGGGAGAGAACTGGGGAAAAACCCAAAGTAAAGTATAAGGATTGAGACAAAAACAGTTTAATAGGAGAAAAAAGGAGAAAAAAGAAGAACAACAATAATTAGAATTTACAGAGTAAGTGAGGCACAGTGCAATTGCTCACCACTCACTGACTGATGCTCAGACAGTTTTGAGCAGGGGTCTCTGGCCAGGTTCCCCCAGTTTATATATGGGGCACAACATCTTATGGTATGGAATATCAGCTGGGGTCAGCTGTCCTGGCTGTGCCCCCTCCCAGCTCCTGGCACCCTGCAGCCTCCTTGCTGCCAGGGTGGAGTGAGAAGCTGAAAAACCCTTGGCTTAGTGTAAACACTGCCCAGCAACAACCAAAACATCGGTGTGCTATCAGCATTAGTATTCCCAGAATCCAAAACACTGCCCTGTACCAGTTACTAGGAAGAAAATTAACTCAATTGTGCTGGAAACCAGGACAGCAGATCAGAGGGACATTCTTCCTGTGGCTGTCAGTGTTTCCAGGGATGCACATTTGCCACAGCTAAGCCTGTTTAACTAAGTACAGCTGAGGGGGGTCACTGTCCCTGCAATGGGCACTCTGGCTGTCAGTGTCCAGCCTCTTTTGACACCAGGGAGCTGCCACAGGTGGCTGGGGTCATTCTTCTGCTTCCACCTAGACTAGGTCCAGCAGTGGGATAATGTTGTACTAGCACCTGGGTATGCAAGTTTGGAGGATTGGAGGATTTTTATTTCTCTTACCAATGCAAAGGAGCCCTGGTAGAGAAGGAAGGAAAGTAATTTTCATTTTCAGAACCTTATAAATTATTACCACATAGTTGAAAACAATCAGTATATTCAGACCAAACAATATTAGTTCACATTTCTGCAACAGGATATCAGCCCTAAGGAGAGAGCCCTGTGGTGCCACCTGCCTTTGCAAGAAGCTGGAGTCACTGCCTGCAAATTTTCACAAGCAATAAATGCTTCTCCACAAAATTCTACAAATGATGGTGGTAGGTTTGTTGTGCAATGACTGGCCAGCACTGATGTTTCTGGACAAAATATTGAGGTTAATCTGTGGTGACACAGCACGAACCCCATCAGTTTCCCTGGGTTTTTGAATGCACACACAGACAGATGTGGACACTTTTAGAAGAGAGGACTTGTAACACTTCAGTTGTTTTAATTGAAGCTTCTAAAACCTTTTCCCATCTTTGCTTGAAACTGAAATATGTAATTTTCTGGACACAGTCCTTCATCCTCAGCTGAAGGCTGTTGTGTAAGTACTCTTGACACATTTGAGTGAAGATATCTCTGTATCATCAAAATGAAGAGAACATACCTCACCTTCCCACCCTGACCAAGTCAGAGGTATGCAAGAACAAAAGTCTGGTGGGTCCTTTCTCAGAGCCTTACACACACTTGGCCCCTTGAGATATCAGAAATCTAGTCTGAATCTACTTTTTTCCTCTTTCCATTTGTAGAAGAAGAAGAAAATAAAAAGGAAAAGGGGTTTGGAAAATAGGACGGCATCCAATATTAAATTTTATATCTATATTATATGAAATAGATATATTTTTATAATGTAAACTATATGTGCATGTTAAATTTACACACACACACACACATCACATATATATATATATAAACATATTTTGTCACTAAGCTGACCAGCCTCTGAAAGACTCTAGTCATTTACTGAAGAGGTTCCTGAAACTCGTGATAGAGCATCCTACCTAAATATGCAAAAAGAAGACCATGGCTCCTACATAAGTTAATATTGTCACGATCACTATTCGCCCTTCAAGGGTTACAGGCCGATTGAAATCATATGTGAAATCCCTGTTTTTAACGTTGTTGCAGGTGATCCTTCACCCTCACGCTCCAGCCTTTATCCAACTGGCATCGGCCACCGCCTTCTGCCAGCTCAGGAGATGTATTTTATACGTGACTTTCAGACGTGATATATTTATGACAAAGCATTTAAACATGGCTTTGCCCCAGCTGCGGCACCGGACCCGTCCGGGCTATGGGCCCTGCAGCAGATGGAGCCCTGCTCAGAAGGTTCAGACTCGCGGGATACCGCGGGCCCTGGCGCCAAAAGAACGCCGGCCAAGCCGGGGCCGCAGCAGCGCAGGCCAAGCCCGGCCCGGCGGTGCAGGCCGCCCGCAGGAAGCGGCTCCGCCCGGCGCCGAGCGCCGCTCCCGCTGCGGGCCCCGCTGGGCGGGCCTGGCCGGGCCCTTCCGCGGGCCGCGCTCCCTCCGCGCCCGGGACGGCCCCGCCCCCGCGCCCGCTGATTGGCTGCGGCCCCGGCGGCGGCGCGCGGGGCTCCCGTCTCGCGCCACTTTCGGGAGCCTTTGGCGCGAGCGCCATGGCCGAGAGCGGCGCTCGGGGCCCGGACGGTGAGACCCGGGGGCGGCGGGGCGGCCGGGTCCCCTGTCCTTGTCCTCCTGTCCTTGTCCCCCTCCCTCGCAGGCGCTGGCGTTTCGCTGTCAGGCGGGGGGCGACCGGGCCGCAGCGCTGGCGGCGGCGGCGAGCGCGCGCGCACCGGGCGCGGGAGCGCGCGTGCGCGGCGGTCGGTGGGTCGGCCGTGGTGGGGGCGGACAGAGGCGCGCGAGGGTCCCGCGTCCCTCTGGGAGCCTCGGCGGGGCCGCGCCCCCGCTGCCCCAGCGGCGGGACCCGCTCCGGGCGGGCGCGGAACGGGGAGATCCGCCCGGGGACGGGCTCGGGCCGCACGGCCCCGCGCCGGCGGTGCAGCCCCGCGGGCTAGGGCGGCTCTGCCCGGTCGCGTCTCAGCCCAGGGGGCAGTGGAGGGCGCGGGTGGCCCCGGCTGGGGCTGGAGCACGCGTGTCCCAGAGGAGCGCATTGCCTGAGGCGTGCAGTAAAGGCGGAGCACTGACACAGATACACGCGCCCAGAGCGGTCTGTGCTGCTCTCCCCCACAGGGCAGCAGGCAGTGCAAATGTCCCTTCTAGCAATGCCGATCCGGCCTTCTCCCAGCCGCGCTGCCGGGGTGCAGCTCCGGTCACAGGGTGATGTCCTGATGCCCCAGGAGGGGAGTGCCCTGCCATGCTCCTCTGCCCACCTGGGTCTCCTGTGCCGGCACCGGGTGTGCAGCTCCTCACACCGAGCCCGCAGCCTTGTCCCCGGGCTGTGTGTGTGCTGCTAGGACTTGGGTTGGGCCTGTTTGTTCCCTCTGGTCAGATAAGTGTTCCTTCCCCTCTGCAGAAGAAGAAAGCATCTTTCTTTCTCCTCTGGAGAAGTACAAAGCATCTTCTTGCTGGGGAGAGCATTTGGGAGGGAAGTGGAAGAGGAAATGGGGTGACAGCCGTCAACAGATTTCTAGTTTGTCTCAATCTGGTCACACTCAAACGTTGTGGAAACTGCCTAAAAACATCACCTAAAAACATCGCTGCTTTGTAGCAGTGTAGGCCCTCTCCAAGTCTGGTGTTCCTGAGTTGTCATGGAGACATGCAAAATAAAAGGAGTTGGAAATTCCCAAGGAAAGGGTGGTGGGGGATCTCTTACAGGGAAAGGCTGATGGGATTTGAGAGGTGCTTTGGAAATGAGGTGGTAGCTTCATGCTGAATGTGAGCTGGCATGAGAGAGCTGTTTGAGCTCCCTGTCAGGCCATGCCCTCAGCATCATTCCAGAACTGGCTTAGGAAGAGCCATCTGTGACTGAGCTTTTAGCCAAGTAGGTTTTGGTTTTAAGCAAAACTGCAATCGTCTATTACTGCATCACTGAAACTTAAGTACCAAAACTAACACCTCGTTGTTAAACTAATTTATCTTGTTTTTAATTAATTACAGCTATGAGTGAGTCTGGAAGTTTTGCAGCATCACGTTCTAGACGTGAGAGGAAGAATAGAAGAGGCCAGCAAGAAGCGCTTGAACGTCTGAAAAAAGCCAAAGCTGGGGAAAAATTAAAATATGAGGTGAAAATTCGTCATCTTCTTAATTAAAAGTGCATGTGAGCTGAGAAGATATGTAAAAGTTAGAGGAACCAAAATAAGCCTTTCAGATCAGCTTTTGTGTTTTTAATCATGTATGTTTTTCTGAGTGTAGCTGTAGTTTTCTGCTTTCTGATATAATTTATTTGTTTCTTTCTGTTTTCAAAACTAACCCAGTTTTGTTAACTGCCATTGCTTGAGAACTATGCTGTAAGGAAGGACCAATTTTTAAAATTGCATAATTAATGTTATGATAGGAAGTACCTTTTTTTAAAATCTCAAATTATATGAAACTTTAATTCCAGAACTTTACATGACTGAAATTCATTAATATTGATATGCTGTGTTTCCACAAATAGACCTCAGTTTAAGTGGTGGAAGTAAAATCTGTCAGTGTAACATTGATACTGTAACATTGTCCAGTCTGGTGCCAACA